AAGTCATCACTAATTGTAAAATTACGTTTAGCCTGGCCTTGCCAAACCTCTTCCAAGATGGGATGCTGCCTTGCTTTCTCTGACCTCTTCACCTGAAGCTACTGGATCAGTTTGACTCTTGCACATCATAAGCCAGGAGGGAGGAGGAGGTTTTGGAGGCTTTGTGGTTTTGCATCCGAATGTTCAAGGCCGGGGAGGAGGGAGGCGGGCGGGCAGAGACAAGTAAACTCATTGAATAGCAAGGAGAAATAGCCTAGCTAAAATAATGTTTTTTTTCTTAGTAATAAGGCATTAAGAACCTGCCTTATTGAGGTTGAGTATAATATTATTGCTAACAATAAAAAAGAACCCAATTTTAAAAATGGGCAAAGGGCTTGAACAGACATTTCTCCAAAAAAGATATACAAATAGTCAATAAGCACATGAAAAGACGTTCAACATCATTTATCAATAGGGAGGTGCAATTCAAAACCACAGTAAGACCACTTTATACTCATTAGGATAGCTATTAGTTAAGAGAGAGAAGAGGGAGAAAGAAAGAAAGAAAGAAAGAACTATTGTTGGCAAGGATGTAGAGAAATTGGAACCCTTGAGCATTGCCAGAAGGAATGTAAAACGGCACAGCCACTGTGGAAAAAGTATGGCAGTTCCTCAAAAAGTTAAACATAGAATTGCCATATGATTCAGCAATTTCACTTTTGGCTATAAACACACAAAAAAATTGAAAGCAGGATCTCAAACAGATGTTTGTACACCCATGTTCATAGCAGCATTATTCACAATAGCCAAAAGGTAGAAACAGGCTAAATGCCCATTGACAGAAGAATGGATAAATGAAAGGTGGTAAATATATACAATGAAATGTTATTCAACTTTGAAAAGGAACTATTTTGATACATGCTATAAACTGGATGAACCTTCAAGGCATTATAGTAATTGAAATAAGCCAGACACAAAAGGACAAACATTGTATAATTCTACATATATGAAGTACATAGAGTAGTCAAAATCATAGACAGAAAATAGAATGGTGGTTGCCAGGAGCTGTGGGGAAGGAGAATGGGGAGTTGGTGTTTGATGGGTATAGAGTTTCAGTATGGGAAGACCAAAAAATTTTGGAGATGAGTAGTGGTGATAGTTGCACAATAATGTGAATTATTTAATGTCACTGAATTTTACACTTGAATGTGGTTAATATATACAGAAAATATGTACGTATTATATATTTTTTGTGTTAAAATACACATAATTAAAACATACCATCTTGACCTTTTTTTTTTTTTTTTTAGAGAGAGAGAGAGAGAGAGAGAATGAGCAGGGGATAGGGGCAGAGGGAGGTGGAGAGAGAATCTTAAGCAGGCTCCATGCCCAGTGCAGAGCTAAACGCGGGGCTCGATCTCATGACTGTGACATCATGACCTGAGCTGAAATCAAGAGTTGGACACTTAACAACTGAGCCATGCAGGCACCCCTATTTTGTTTCTTATTGTGGTAAAATATACATAACAACTGAACTGTACATGCAAAAGCAGTCAAGATGAGGGGCACCTGGGTGACTCAGTCGGTTAAGCATCCGACTCTTGATTTCAGCTCAGGTCATGATCTCCAGGTGTTGGGATCAAGCCCCACATTGGGCTTCTGCACTGTCAGTAAGGAGACTCCTTGGGATCCTCCCCCTCCATCTCTCTCTGCCTCTGCTCTAATCACTTGCATGCGCTCTCTCTCTCTCTCTCTCTCAAAATAAATAAATAAACATTAAAATAAATAAATGGGGCGCCTGGTGGCTCAGTTGGTTAAGTGTTTAGTTCTTGGTTTCCGCTCAGGTCACGATCTCACGGTTAGGGAGTTTGAGCCCCACTTTGGGCTCTGTGCTGACAGTGCAGAGCTTGCTTGGGATTCTCTCCCTCCCTCTCTCTCTGCCCCTCTCCTGCTTGCTCACTCTATCTCTAATTAATTAATTAATTAATTAAAAAAACATTTTTAAAAAGGGGATGCCGGGGTGGCTCAGTCAATTGATCGTCCAACTCTCGGTTTCGGTTCAGGTCACGATCTCACAGTTCTGTGGGTTCTAGTCCCACGTCAGGCTCTGCGCCGGCAGCATGGAGCCTGCTTGGGATTCTCTCCTCCCCTCCCCTCTCCTCTCCGCCCCTCCCCCACTTGCACTGTCTCTGTCTCTCTCAAAATAAGTAAATAAACTTTAAAAAAATTTATTAAAAAAATTAAAAATCAAATAAAACTGGTAATACAGGAAATAAAAATATCATTGCTAGTCCCTTTATTTGGTGTTCTTGTCAGTATTTCTTTAGTGAGTATGAATATGCAGAAGGGTTTCCCTGCAGTCACTTAGTCACTTGCAATTTTGGCTTGCGTCATCTGTGAGATCCTAAGTCCCCCTGCTGCAGAATCCTTCCACCACAGGGGATTTTAGGGACTTAATCCTCACAGTTGGAGAGGAAATATCTTCTGGGGAGTAGAGGAGGGGGCAGTGTAGAGGGCACTCACCCGGTTTGGGGAGATGGTGTGACGGGGCCCGATGAGAGAGATGGTATTTGTTAGGTATGGAAAGGGGAAAAAGAGCAAAGAGATCAGTTTTGTCTTCTTCACCCACTTCCGGTACTCTCTCTGTACCTCACCGTGGCCCCCACAGTTCCCTGAAGTTTGGGCTGTTCGTAGCCCCAGCTCGAATGAGGAGGAAAGGAAAATCCCACTCATTCCTCAGACCAGCCACAAGCCCTACTCTCAGCCCACCTTTCCCACTAACCATGTCACGAAGAGGGTCCTGCCAGTGCCAACACCCCCTCTTCCTGCACACGCTTGTTCTTACCCGGTGTCACCTGCAGGTTTGGGCTGGGGAAGGATGTGTTGGCGAAGGTTCCCCCATTATAATCTCCCTGCCCCCCTCCTCTCTGTGTGCCCGTGTTCCTCCAACTCTTCTCCAACTCTCCCCCATCCTCTCCCTTCCCTTCTGTTTACATTTCCACCCACTCACTTTCTGTTTCAACCTACTTTGCTTCAATATCAGTTTTCAGTAGGGGTTGAGAGCTGAAGGAAGGGGTGTCCCCTCTCCAGGGCTTGCTGGGCCTTCCTCAGCCCGCCTACCTCAGTGAGCTGTAGACTGGGTCACTTGCATTTCCTGGGAGAGGCCACCTCACCTATTTCTCCCCCCAGATTCCTTTTTGGGGGGGGCGGGAGGGATAGATCCCCAGGAAGCCTTTCACAGGCAAACCAGATGCAGGAAAACCTCCTTTTCTGGAATTGGTGGGTAGGAGCTGCCTCAAGGCTCCCCTAAGAATCTTTTTTCTTTTGTTGGATGTGAATCTGAAATACCTTGGGAGTTTACCTGTGGCAGCTAGAGCCCCCACTGTCAGCGAGTAAGGACAACTGTCAGCTTCTCGGCTCCCCCTGGTACCCAGGTGGAGTGGAACGCAAGCCCGGAGACACTACGGCTAATGGCGATGACAAAAAGAGCTGCCCAGGACCCGAAGTTTGCTAGGCAGCCTATACCTGCTGCAACTGTGCAGTGAAAAACACCCAGCAAGAAGAGGCTGTGCCGCGGCACCCGCTTTAAAGATGCGTCTGGACAAGCTGGGAGCTCGCAATGTGTTGCCACCATCTCATCCACATCTGCCCAGCAGTTTGCCCCGGACTCCTGGTTCCCAGCTCCTCTCAGAGAAGAAGCTGAGAAGCAGCAGGCTTGGCTGCCGCCCAGCGGCCCGTCTGTAATCTTCCTGCTCAACACCACATCTTGGCAGCAGCAGGAGGCAGGCTCAGGCTGCCCCAGAAGCCAGCCTTGAGACTGGTGACTCAGCGGGGGAGGTGGCGGGTGGGACTTGGGGCCCCGGGGGCCAGGACCGATGACAACTGAGCAGAAGACAGGAAGATGAGTCCTGAGCCCAAGCTGAGCAGCAATCTAATGAATTCACAGCAATTCCGTTTGTGTGGCTGAATCCTCCCTGTGGGTTTAGAGGATCCCTCCCTGTGGGTTTAGATCCCCTGCTTCCTGCTTTCTAAAATGCAGCCTGACCAAGGTCTAGATGCCGCAGCCAAGTGACCCCTCTTTTCCTTTGCTGCCACCCACCCCCACCCCCAAACCCAAGCAATTATACAGGAACATCCAAAGAGATGTGGGTGGAGATTTTCCTTTATTCGTTTTTTATTTTGGAGAGGAAGGGCTGGAGCAAAAAGATTATGCCAACACACCAGGCATCAGAATGACCCTTGCACATGCAGGACTCTGATGGGCACTCACTCCAGATCAGGTGATTAACAAATGTGCCTCATGACAACAATGTCCCCACAGCTGCAAAAGCCCCCTTGCTCTTCCCCATTTTTCTTAATTTTAAAGACTTCTGCCCATACCCACCTAAGGTAGTCTTGTCATTCTCAATAACTGGCTCTCCTACTCCTGTGGGCTCAGAGCCCCACCCCACCCCACCCCACCCCGCCCCAAAATAAACATGCATCCCCTAGAGATACAGGCAAATCGACACAGGATGCTGGAACGCAGAGAGATGGCATGCTTCGTTTCATCACCCGCCAGCTTGGGAGAAGGGCTGCCCTCCATCGCACCAGGGAGAGATGGGAAGGAGCGTTGAGGCCACATCACTTTCCAACCTCCCCAGGGCCCCGCTGCTCACACCCTGGCCTTCCCAGGTTTTAAATAAATCAGCAATTGAGAAAAAGACACTGGGGAGCCAAGAGATATAGGGCTCAACTGAACATTTGAATGAAAATTTTCTTCTTGTTCAGTTTCTGTTCAACCCAAAGGTCTCTTCCTCCTCTCCCAAGGGGATGTCTGATGCTTGAAGCCCCCAAAATCTGGCTGCCAGCCTCCCCGGCAATTTGTGGACCCCGTGGAATGTTTTTAGTTGCAACAACCCCTCACCCCCCAGCCTCCCCGCATTCTCCCAGAGGGGTCTTGGGTTCTTCTCAGCGTCTCTCCCCATCATGGCCCACCGTGCTGTCCCGACTTGGAGGTGCCCAGGGTTGTAGGGGAAGCGTCAGGTGCCCTTGCTTTCTGTCCTCTCCTCATCAGCTGTGTGGACATTGCTGACGGCTCGAAGCCGCCCCTGGGCAGCAGGCTTCACCGACAGGACCAAGCGTTTGCGGAATGTCTCACAGAGCACTATGTACACAAAGGGATTGAGGCAGCTGTTGGCATAGCCCAAGCTGATGGCTGCGTTGTACAGGTACACAAAGGTGAGTGTCGGGCGGCTGATGTACAACTGGGTCAGCTGCAGCACATAGTAGGGGGCCCAGCACACAAAGAAGACCAGGCAGATGGCGATGGCTGTACGAGTCACCCTCTTTGTCCGCAGCCGGATGCTGCGCTGAGAGGCGGGAGCTACGGAAGACATCATGCGCTGCAGGATCCTCACATACGCAGCTGTGATGACCACAAAGGGCAGGGCGAAGGCCAGGAAGAACTGGTACAGGGTGAACCAGTACAGGTCAGTGTCTGGGTTGGGCAGGCGGATGCCACAGCCCACCGTGCCCCCTGGGAAGGGGATAAGCCTAGCGTAGAGCCACACGGGGGTGATGCTGATGAAGGAGAGGGCCCACAGGAGGCAGATCACCAGGGTGGCCACAGAAGGCTTCCGGAACTTGGTGGAGGAGATAGGGTGGACGGTGGCCAGGTAGCGATCAATGGCCATGGCGGTCAGGATGTAGGTGCTGGTGAACTGACTGTTGGCGTCCATGGCTGTGATGAGTGTGCACATGGTCTCTCCAAAGTGCCAGACTCCATTGCCCATGAGCTGGTGGATCATGAAGGGCATGCCCAGGAGAAAGAGGAGGTCCACCACCGAGAGGTTGATGATGAAGATGTCGGGCACGTTGCTGCACCAGTGCAGTTTGGACTTCTTCACCACCGCGAAGATGACTGTGGAGTTCCCGATGATGCCCAGGAGGCAGATGGTGCCAAACACTGAAGGCATGATGATGTTGATGTAGGAGACACTCCCTCTGCGAGGAGGTGACCCTGGGGACAAAAGGAGTGAACTGTGACCATTTATCATGGACTCCTCTCTAAGGGCTAATGTCCTACTGGGTGCTTAGCCTCCAGCAATCATGTGCTTGCTTACGTCTTTATCTTCTTTCCGTTTCACTCAGGGCTCACCATTCATCTGGAATCCTTTCCGACTGTTCTCCCTCCCCACACCAGTTGCTAATCCTGTCCCCTTGCCCTCCTCCACCGGTTCCCTGGCTAATCCTACCAGATTCTCCCTCACCACCTGTTAGTTGAAGGACCCGGTCCTTTGCTTCCTGCATTGTCTCAGAAGGCACAGATTCAAGAACCACAGCTGTCTGCAGAGAATTATTCTGTGGGCCCCTAGGCTTTACCAGGAAACCTCATCAAAATAGCCAGAAGGACATGAAAGTGTGTGTGTGTGTGTGTGTGTGTGTGCGCGCGCGCGCGCATGCGGGCGAGCAAGAGTATGCATGGGCGCATGCATGTGTTTTCCTATTTGCAGCCCTGATCATCTCATTTTAGAAATCACTGGTTGGAAGCTGTGCGCTGATTCCTAGGCATATCTGTGGGCTACTGTCCTGTGGAGAGAGGTTTTTGCACATCAGGCCCACAGCCCTCTCTTCTCTTGGGTTCCTATCAGGGACTTCCTTGGTCTGTATCTTCTGAGCCTGGGCTTCCCAAGTGAGCAGAGACCAAAGCTGTGTGTTGCAGCCTAAGCCGCTTGAGATTTTTCTCCACCAAGCCTTTCCTCTTTTTTCCTTCCTCGGAGCTAGAATTTCAGGGCATCTCAGCTCTAGAAATGTCAGGAAGCTTCATTCAGGAAGTTAATCCTCTCGTGGCTCTGTGAGTTATCCCTTCCCGTGGCCTTTCCCAGGGGTCAGTAAGGATGTTTCAGATCCCACTACCACAGTTTCAGTAAAAAAGACAGGGGGACCGGCAAATGAGTGAGCCTACCCAGCTGTCTCCTCACATACTGTCCTCTGTCTTCTCTTGCTTGCTTTTCCAGCCTGGAATTTTTATCTGCAAAGCATTTGGAACTCACGGGTGAATCTCCTCCTGTCTCCCTCAGGGCTGGCCCCCATCGCCTGCCACTTCCCAATGTGCCTTTTCGCTCTTCTCATTCTCCTCCTCCCCGGCCCCCTGCTGCCGCTGCCTGCCCCGCCCCCTTCTCCCCTTCCCCTCCGGGCAAAGCAGACTGCAGGTCTGATCCTCTAGAACTGTAATAAAGTTTCCTGAGCAGTTCCTGAGCGCAGAGGTGAAACCTTCCCACTCCCCACCCCCAGCGCAGAGGAGGGAGGACTCCCCTCCAACACTACTCACCGGCCAAGGTGAGGTTATCGGGGCCGTCGGAGGTGTTGCTGGCATTAGGGCCGGTGGGCAGCAGCGAGGCTTCTAGGTCCATCCTGCCGCTGCCCGTCGCCTGCTCGCCCGTCCACCCACGCAGGCTGCGGCAGCGCCGCCCGCCCGTCCCAGAGCACGAGCCCCGCAGTCCGGAAGGGGGTCTTGCTGGCGCTGGCGGTCTGGCAGCTTCTGCCGCCTCCTAGCCCCGCTTCTCTCCCCACTCCCTCCTTCCCCGGCTCCCACTGACATCACCTAGACACATTAACATTCGGAGGCAGATGCACGTTAACCTCTTCAGTCCCGAGCAGCAGCTCCCGCATCCGACTGCCTGCGGAGCCCCCGGAGCCTGGGGGAGCTGGTGGGGGCGCGGGGGCGAGCTCAGGCAAAGCCATCGGGGAGGGGGCTTCCTTCCCACGTCACTGGGGGCTGTGCTCCTGTGCTCCCAGGAGCTTGCCTCCTGGGAGGATCCAGGTGCCTGCAAAGACAAACGGGCTGCCTCCCTTGGGAAAAGTGAATGAGCCTGGCCTAGTCCCTAACCCCAGATATGGGTGGCTGGGCCATGTGGCAGGGGCTAGGGGTGACTTCACAGAGCTGGGAGATGGAAGGCTCAGACCACAGCATGCCTGTCCCCCAGGCCACCCTCAGCTGCTCTCCGGTACCCTAACCATCTCACCGGCTGGACCTCCAGCATCCGCCAGAAGCAGATTCGTTGGCCTCTGAGCTGTTGACCAGCACTCAGAGGTGACTGGGGTCACTCTATGATGCTGCTGATGGCCAGGGTCTTAGGGACCAGAAGGGGACACTACCCTCTGCACAGAATTGAGGACCAAACGGACAGAGATTTTTCTTTTTCTTTCTTTTCTTTTTTTTTTTAAGTTTATGTATTTATTTTGAGAGAGAAAGAGGTGGGGAAGGGCAGAGAGAAAGAGGGAGAGAGAGAATCCCAAGCAGGCTCCACGCTGTCAGTTCAGAGCCGGACGAAGGACTCCATCTCATGACCTCAGCTGAGATCAAGAGTCAGGTGGTTAACCGACTGAGCCACTCAGGGGCCCCAAGATTTGATTCTTGAGACAAATTTTAGAGCGTAGCACCCCCGTCCCTGAAGTTGTCAACTAGGAACCTTAGAGGGCAAAGCATTGAAGGAATTCTGGGCAGAGGTGTCCTGCTGCCAGCCTCCAGTGCCCCTCACGGCCAAGAGCTGCCAACACACCTACCACCAGACTCGGGAGCAGGGGCTTCAGGGTAACAACAGCCTGATCCCTACCTGTGTGTGTCTTCAGTCTTATTTATTCGTTTCATCCAACAAATATTTATTGAGCACTTACTACTTGCCAAGCACTGTTCTAGGTTTTGTAATGAAACAACAACAACAACAACAACAACAACAACAATAAAGTCCCTGAATCCTTGTCCTCATGGAGATTACATTCAAGTTGAGGAGGGAGGGTTGGGGGGAATGGAAAGTATACAAAAAATAAAAAAGACAATTTACGAGGTTAGGGATTAGTGCTATGAAAAAGAGGGAGCCAGGCAACACTAGGGGAAGTGGAGGTTGCTATTTTACATAGAAAGGCCTCTCTGGAAGTGTTTTCAGAAGAGTCCTGAAGGAAATGAAGAGGCATGGTTGGGAATATCTGCAAGAAGAGCCAGTGCAAAGGCCCTGAGGCAGGAGGGTGCTCACACCCGAGGTAAGAGGCAAGTGAATCTTGTGCTGGAACTAAGAGGACTCCGACAGTATGAAATCCAGGGCAAAAAGCAAACAGGTGCGAGGTGTGCACTCGAGGCAAGACACGATAAGCATAGGATCAGCTAAACTCACCTACAACTGTCCGCTGCAGCCAGAGCTGAAGTCAGAAGTGGTCGGGGGAAATGTGACACGGGTTACCAGAAACGTCCCATGTAAAAGGCTGCTGCGACAATCCAATTGAAAGAGGATGGCATCCCAGATCAGGAAGGCGGAGGTGGGGAGAAATGGTGGGCTTGTATACACTGTATAGAGCAAATGCTCCAGAGCATTTGCTGGAGAGCTGAAAGTGTGTGAGAGGAAGAGGCATCGGGGTCACTCCCAAGTTTGGAGCCCAAACAACTAATGAATGCAGTTGTCATTTACTGAGATAAGGAAGTCTGTGGGAGGAGAAGATTTGGAGGAGAAATTAAGAGTTCCATTTTGGATCTGTTATATTCTAGATGCCTATTAACACCTGAGTGGAAATGTTGGGTGGTAGTCAGATGTGAGTCAGAAACTCGAGGCAGAAGTGGTGCCTGGAGATACAAAATTAAACTGACGACCCTGAATGAGCTCACCTAGGGAGTGCATGCGGGTGGATAGAGTTGTGTGGACTTGACCCTGGGGCATTCCAAAGCTTTCAGGGTGGGAAAATGAGCATTATGACCTCTTCTTCCACTGGCCATCGTCTTCCCGCCTCCATCTGTCCATCCATCTGTCCAGCAAATCATTGGGTTTTTAAAAAAAAATTTTTTTTTTTTAATTTTTTAAAAAAATTTTTTTTTCAACGTTTTATTTATTTTTGGGACAGAGAGAGACAGAGCATGAATGGGGGAGGGGCAGAGAGAGAGGGAGACACAGAATCTGAAACAGGCTCCAGGCTCTGAGCCATCAGCCCAGAGCCTGACACGGGGCTCGAACTCACGAACCGCGAGATCGTGACCTGGCTGAAGTCGGACGCTTAACCGACTGCGCCACCCAGGCGCCCCTAAAAAAAATTTTTTTAATGTTTATTTATTTTTGAGAGAGGCAAAGAGCAAGTGGGGGAGGGGCGCAGAGAGACAGAGAGAGACAGAGACAGACACAGAGTCCAAAGCAGGCTCCAGGTTCTGAGCTGTCAGCACAGAGCCCGACATGGGCTTGAACTCGGGAACAGTGAGATTATGACCTAGGCCAAAGTCAGACGCTTAACCGACTGAGCTACCTGGGTGCCCCCAACAAATCATTCTTGAGCTTCTGCTGTGCACCAGGCACCATCCACACAGTAAAGAAAACAAGTGCCTGCTATCAAGGAGCTTCAGCTTAAGTGGGGACATGTAGCTAATAACGAGCAAGTTGCAAGTAAACAAGATACCCCTTTCCCTGCTGAGATCCAGCCAAGTCCAGGTGACTTCATCACGAAGGGATTTAGGTGTTCATAAAAAGGGCAAATGATGCCACCACTTCCACCATCGGCACTAGCAAAATGACTCTGCTTGAATTTAAACCGTGACTGAGCAGCAAGGGCAGGTTTGATCTTTCTAGCTTATGCACGCTGGGGGGTGGGGGTGTGTGTGAACACTGAGTTAGTCAACTCACAGTGGCAGCCACACGGGCTGATTACTCACTGTGGTAGCGTCACCAAGGGAATGACTGGGGTCCTTTAGAGAGGAGAGTTAAGGATGACTTCTTTGAGGAGGCATTCGGGTGGAATCCTCAGCATCCATTCATCACAAATGATTGATTTAAACCAGTCAATGGCAACCTCATGACCCTCACCAGCGGCCATTTTAGGAATGAGCATGTCTACTGGTTGCCCACGTGCACCCCTTCAAATCCTCTTGGCCACACAGGTTATATTCCATCCATTGCTGCTGTGACCCACTCTGCACAGTCCCTGACCGACCAACTTCAGGTACAGGTGCAGGTGCAGGTATGACCTGTTGGCGCTGTGTCTTAGCCTTGCGCCGTGTGTCCTTTACCCTCTGCTCTGTGTTGCTGTCACAACTTAGAATATGGGAATCCATGAAAGTGCCCCATGCATGAGCAACTCGGAAGTACAGGGAGAGTTAACACCCCTTAGGGTGAACATTTAACCAGTGGATGGGGTGAACCATTTAACCAGCGCTCCCATGGGGTAGAGCAACCAGTCACCTGTACGGATGGCCAACTCGACTTCCTTCCATAGTGCTCCCAGCTTCCCTCCTTTGCTGCTCAGTCCTCACTTCTGATTCCTAGAACCACACTTTCCAGTCAAACACCCAAGCTGTCAAACACCCAGAGACTTTGTCTCTGGCTCTGTTTTCTAGGAACCCAAGACTAAGGCGTGTGGCTCATTCCTACTGGCAGTAAAGGGGAGGAGTGTTGAGGTGAGAGATGTTTGGCCAAGTTCTTCTTCTTGCAAAGAGAATGCAGGAAGAGACAGTCTAGTTTGCCTCTAGTTTGTTGGATGAATAAATGGCTAATAGAGAACTATATGGGGAAGCCCTGAGTGACATGGGCACAGGGGAGAAGAACACAAGCCCTATTGGCCATGCTCCCTTCTCCAAGGCTCCATTCAGCCCCAGTGCTTCGTGGCCAACCTGGCAGCAGTGGCCACAAGGCCCATGACCAGGCAGTGGGCATCTCTCAGCTGTGAGTTAACCCAGAGGCCACAGTCAGGTTCTTTCTGATGGTGAGAAAGACAAAAAAGATCACCTTCAGGGATAGCGATTCATCAAAAGGATTCATGGAAATCCCAAGGAAGCACGAGAAAGCAGCTGAGGTAAGAGTGCTTACATGGGGGGAACCAGAGGGGGCTCAGCCTAAGTGTCCCACTTTGGCTCAAGTCATGATCTCACAGTTTGTGAGCTCAGCCTCGCATCAGACTCTCTGATGTCAGTGCAGAGCCTGCTTCAGATCCTCTCTCTCTGCCCCTCCTATGCTCTAGTTTTCTCACTCTCTCTCTCTCAAAAATAAATAAATAAATAAATAAATAAACAAACAAACAAACAAACAAACAAACAAACATTACAAGAAATCCTTAAAATGAAATTCTGACATCATGGATGAACCTTGAAGACATTCTACTAAGTAAAATAACTAGACACAAAAGGACAAATATTGTATGATCCCACTTATGTGAGGTACCTAGACTAGTCAAATTCTTAGAGACAGAAAGTAGGATGGAATTTGCCAGGGGCTGGGAGAATGGAGAACAGGGAGTTGCTATTTAATGGGGACAGAGTTTCAGTTTGGGATAATGAAAAAATTCTGTAGATGGATGGTGGTGACGGTTGCACAAAGATGTAAATGTATTTAATGCCACCGAACTGTACACTTAAAAACAAAGTAAATTTTATGTTGGGTATATTTTATCACAATTTAAAAATATGTTAAACAGTTAAAAGAAAAATGTATTGCATGCAGTAAATCAGTTCAAGAGCTTTCTATGGGATTCCAAAAGCCTACTATAAATCATTTACTTAGACATTGCAGCTCTGTTGCATGTTCAATTAAATATCTTTTTTTTTTAATTTTTTT